AGAGAGAAAAAATGTGGAAACATTCAATTCTGTGGAAAAATATATGAAATCATGATAAAAAACTGCACCATTAGAATTTTGTTGCATCACCTCTTTTACAACAGCTTGAATTCTTAGAGGCATTGATCTAAGACAAACACTGTTCTTCATGATCTGGGGCTCTAACTGTTTCTTATTGCCAGATCAGTGTTTTAGGTTGGAGCCTTGACCATTTTCTTAAATTTCCAAAAAAATTTCTACTGGAATGACGTTTTTCAGGCTAAGCCTTGACATTATATTTATTTCTCGAAGCACAGTTTTTACACCGTTTGCCCTGTGGCAACATTATCTTGAAAACATGCAGTTGACATTAGTAAACATTATTTAAACTGATGGACATGTCCAAAATTATAATGCAGACTGACATTTATTGAAATTATAATGATTACCATTTCCCGTGTGTCTTTCCTGACACTTTTTTCATCAAGTCAMCTGCAGTCTGTGATTGGTTTTCTTTAACGTTGTTCTTTTAGGTGTCATTGGGGACTTTCATTTCTATATTTATTTTTTTCTTCATTATTTTTTTATACAGTGTCTTACAGTTTAGTGAGATGCTGACTCCAGTTTGCCATAATTCATGGTTCTCCAAGGTGTGAGCACTCTTTTGACTGAATACTAGTTAGCAGATTTGCTATGATGCAGATGTTTGTTTTAGAATTGAAATTTAGTGATTCCATTTATGTTTTTCCTCAGAAAGGAGGGATTCATTGTTTTCCTCTACTTGATTTAAAACAAAAAAGCTGTTTTGACTGACTACAGTTATTATTTTTTGTCTTTCTTAATATCATATGGTTGAAATATTAAAAACAAATAAATCGTAGTTTTGTGGCATGTCTGTAATTCTATTTAGTTWCTGTATACTGTATATAAAAATAAGCAATTGAAAGAACATCCTCTAAGAGTGATGATGTTTCCTTAATTTTTGCCAGGGGTTGTGTGTCAGAGAGGAGTGGTGTCATTGTGTAGACAGGTATAGCTTGAAGACAAGATGTAAAGATCCAGCCTGCTTTGCCATCTGTGTGAGCAGAGGAAGTGAAGTGTGAGTTTCTTTCTGCTCTGCCTGACTTCGGAGTAATTGGCCGTCAAATGATTAAAATGTTTCATGGCTGGCAGGTGGGGTTTTTTGCAGACAGGTGGCCTGTGTGTGTCCTCCTTCAGCTCATTCATTTGTACTTGTGCTACTTTTTGAACCACCTGTATGTGTCCAATCAGGCCTCAGTTTTTGTGCTAGGCCTGTCAGTTTGCCTGTTGATGCCTGCCTTTTTGTGCATAAGTGTGTGTGTGTGCACTGATGTGGGTCTGACTGGGTCCAACTGGCTGCATCAGTTGGCGATAACACATAATTGATTAAGCACCTGCTCATTTTGGAGACAGAGTGTGATTTCCTCTCCTGAGGAGCTACAAACCAAAATAGCTCTTGGAGCAGAGAGCATCTTCACTTTCCCCTGGTAATTTTTTTTATCATATCAGTCTTCATCAGTATTATTACAATAACTTACAACGTGGTTTTGTTTTGCCTTATTAAAATTTGAAAATATGTTCTAGTCTATATTAATAATGCAGTCGATGTAGCAGCAACTTCTGATATAAAATATATCAGCAATAAAGCAGTGATTCATATATTTTGAAGAATGACTTTGTTGAAAGGTTATGAACAATTAATATCTGTTTAAACAGCTCTTTGAACATCTCAGTTCGGAGAAATTCTGTTTAATTTCGACTGGATTGATGGGATAAATTCTCTCTGAACAAGTCCAGAAGCAAAGTTGATTCCTATTGTCCTAAAAAAACTAAAATCTTTAAGGCCTTATATGTAAATACTAATTTATAACTTATTGCATCATTATATGAATATTTGATAACCCTTTCTTTCACAGTCCCTTTAAAATATTATTACTTGGTAATTACAAAGTAAATTTCTATGAAATTAAAACTAATTTTAGTGGGTAATTACAATCAAATTATAGTTTAATAATACAACAATTATCCACTCTGTACCAACAGATAAAAAATAAATAAACTTCCACATATCCCGTACTGTGTATTAATATGTTATTTTAGCTATTATTGTCATTGCACAACCCTGTACAACGAAACTGAACATAAAAAACATGCAGGACAACAGCAACATATACAATATAAATTCAGTGACAAAACTAATAATAAAGTAGTTATTGCACTCAGGACTTTTGGCTGCTGTTCATAATCTGGATGGCCCATGGGAAGAAAATGTTTTTGAGTCTTTTGGTACAGCTCTTAATGCTCCTGTACCTTCTGCCAAAGGACAGCAGACTGTAAAGATGGTGACCAAGATGGAGGTGGTTTTTGAAGATCCTCTTTTACCTGGAGAGACAACGACTGCTCCCAAGAGCCAGCCTCAGAACCAGTTCCTCAGTAGGCTAGGGTCAGACTGCCAAGTTCCCCTCCTTTGGCTACGGCATCATGCCCCTGACTTGTACGGCCCCTTCTGCAGGTGTGAGGTCCACAGGAAGGCAAACCTATGTAGCCCATTTGGGCTGGGCCCCAATTAGGGTTGGGTATTTAAAGGGTTTATTTTGATACCAGTGTTAAATCGATACTTTAAAAACGAAGGAAAAAAATTGTATAGGTCCTCTGGACGGGTTCTTCTTTAATGAAACGTTTCAT